CAAGTTAGTACTTACTTCGTGATGCCGTTTAGTGATTTCAGCAATGTATGTGCTATCCACTTCCAGCGTCTTTTCCTAATTTCCTCCTTACATGGAAGCTGGTTTGTTCTCTCCCACAGTAGGCTGTTGCTGATGGTATTCAATCGACGGACGTTGAATATCTTACGTAGACAATTGTTTATAAATACTTGTGCCTTCTAGATAATGGTTATGGTAGTTTTCCAAGTTTCAGCTCCGTACAGTAGAACCGTCTTGATGTTCGTGTTGAAGACTGTGACTTTGATATTGACTGACAGTTGTTTTGAGGTCCATATGTTCTTCAATTGTAGGAACGCTGACCATACTTTGTCATTCCTTGCCTTTACATATGCATTCGATCCTCCTTATTCATCGATGATGCTGCCTAAGAAGTATTACAAGCATCATCAAAGAGGTACACCTATTTATGCACAATTTTCTACTGAAGTTACTCCAGATCCGTCGGCCGGATACCATAAGCGACAACCTACTGTGGCACCGAACAAACCAGTTTCCAGCTGATGAGGAAGTCAGGCAAAGACACTGAAAGTGGTTAGGAAGCGCATAAGGGAAATAATCAAACTGCATCTCGAAGCAGGAGCTGACTTGGTAACCTCAAGGCAAAACAAAAGAGTCAGACATCAAACGAATGGATGGCGATTGAAAACAACTGGAAAGAGTTGCACAGGACAGAGTTGGTTGGAAAATCCTGGTCGGCGGCTTATGCTCCTCCACGAAGAATTTCGGTGCCACAAAAAGAATAGTAGACTATGAAAACAGATTGCAGACGAATGAATAAAACAACACGATCTCATCAGTGAAGAATAAAAATCTAAATTGCTCACAAATAGATCATACATTCATTTAACTACTACCATACAGTCTGTTTGTTTGAGACCATCATTAATACAGACTACAAATGGGAGTACGAGGACCATATATCTACTGAAAAGTAATTTTTAAGGGAAAAATAGTCAAGAAAACACGTGAAACACTTTAAGAAAACGATTTCTGCGTATTATTGACTTGCAATTTTTTAAATCGATAGTTTAAACAAAACTCAACAATATTAATTCATCAATCAATTAAGGACTGAATTTAACAATCGAAAAGTTTATTCACTTCACTAAACCGCCCTCGATTATGTTGTTTAGTCGAATTTAAATATAAACTATGACAGAAAATATGTTTATATAGTTTGTCAATTGAATTAAATGTTTAACTGATTTTTCAAATCGTACATAATTTCTGAAATAATAATAAACTTTCCCAAGTTTATTTTTATTTAAAATCATAGAGGAATATGACTTAAATAAACAAAAAGGTGATGATCAGTCAGTCAGTCAGTCAGCTACAACGTAGAACCAGGCACATATGTGCATCGGTCCAGGTTGCCATACCTCATTAACACAACAAGATGAACACCGGACTCATGAAAGTAGTTAATTCAGAGGTGGTTATAAATAAAAGAAAGATTGCATATAAGGATATAGTACAGGATGAAAGAATTAGTTCGTAGAAAGAAAGATATGAAGCAATTTTAATCTCTTAGTTTAAGGGAAGACAGAGAGTGTATACACCGACGCCATTGTGATCGATTCTGAGCCATGTCACCAAGAGTCTCCAACCATTGGTTACGAAAGTCACGCGGACCCCAACCAAGTAGTCTGCATCTACCAACATGGCTCAGACTAGAAGTTAGTGACTTCAAGCACTGATGCCACGTTTTGGTTTGACCGCCCCTAACTTTCTTCCAACCATCCCATACACTAGTCAGCATTGCACGTTGTGGTAATCGGTGTTCGGGCATACATAACACGTGGCCCAACCATCTCAGTCGATGAAGATTCACAACCTGATCGACTGATTTACCATCCTTCCCTAATACCCTGCGTCTAACCTCACTATTACTTACCCGGTGATCCCAGCAGATGCCAGCAATATTTCCGAGGCATCTGTGGTCAAATACTAGTAGCTTACGAGTATCTCCTACTCTTAAAATCATCCTGTGATAACCATAGAGGGATTAGTTTAACTAATATAGTATCTAAAATACTAGCCTCGATAATTATCAGACGGCTAACTAAGACTCGTGAACTGCAAACACGAGAGAATCAAGCTGGCTTCAGACCTGGTCGTGGCTGCATCGACCACATATTCACTATTCGTCAGGTTCTAGAACACAGGCATACTTATCGGCGTCCGGCAATCGTGGTCTTTCTTGACTTAAAAGCAGCATTTGATTCCGTAGACCGCGAGATTCTGTGGCAGTGTCTGTCATTGAAAGGCGTACCTCAGAAGTACATAAACCTTGTGAAGGCTCTTTAATCGAACACTACCAGTAGAGTCAGAGCTTATGGTGAACTGTCACCTGATTTCTCAACCTCAAGTGGTGTCCGTCAAGGCTGTCCACTTTCTCCATTTTTGTTTAACTTCATCATAGACCTACTGATGGAAATAACATTCTCGTCGACTGAATTCTCGAGTATTGATCTCCTTCCAGGAGGTCCACTTATCGACTTAGAATACGCGGATGACATAGTCCTGTTTGGTGAAGACGCTGATAAAATGCAGGGTCTTTTGGTAGCACTAAGCAACAATGCCAGAATGTTTGGAATGCGCTTCCCTCCATCTAAATCCAAGTTGTTGCTTCAGGATTGGCTGCGTCAACACCTGAACTAAGGATAGGGAGTGAAGTAGTCGAACGCGTTGACAACTTCACTTGGAAGTCTGATCAGCCCTAATGGGTTGGTGTCTGACGAAATCTCAGCACGGATTCGAAAAGCTCGTTTGGCTTTTGCCAACTTACGTCACCTATGGCGAAGGCGAGATATCCATCTATCAATTAAAGGACGAGTATACTGCGCGGCAGTCCGTTCTGTTTTAACTTACGGCAGCGAAACATGGCCATTAAGAGTAGAAGACATTCGTAAGCTACAAGTATTTGACCACAGATGCCTCAGAAATATTGCTGGCATCTGCTGGGATCACCGGGTAAGTAATAGTGAGGTTAGACGCAGGGTATTAGGGAAGGATGGTAAATCAGTCGATCAGGTTGTGAATCTTCATCGACTGAGATGGTTGGGCCACGTGTTATGTATGCCCGAACACCGATTACCACAACGTGCAATGCTGACTAGTGTATGGGATGGTTGGAAGAAAGTTAGGGGCGGTCAAACCAAAACGTGGCATCAGTGCTTGAAGTCACTAACTTCTAGTCTGAGCCATGTTGGTAGATGCAGACTACTTGGTTGGGGTCCGCGTGACTTTCGTAACCAATGGTTGGAGACTCTTGGTGACATGGCTCAGAATCGATCACAATGGCGTCGGTGTATACACTCTCTGTCTTCCCTTAAACTAAGAGATTAAAATTGCTTCATATCTTTCTTTCTACGAACTAATTCTTTTATCCTGTACTATATCCTTATATGCAATCTTTCTTTTATTTATAACCACCTCTGAATTAACTACTTTCATGAGTCCGGTGTTCATCTTGTTGTGTTAATGAGGTATGGCAACCTGGACCGACGCATATATGTGCCTGGTCCTACGTTGTAGCTGACTGACTGGAGAGTACAACAGCATTTTTCCTAAAACTAATATTTTCTGTTCAGATTGGGTCCGATGGGTTTTACCTAATTTAAGAACAGTCAAGTTGTATCCCCTCGTTACCGCAGCTATTCGGTCGGTCCCCCCCCCAGTCTACTACATTGTCCGGACATCCCATGTACCTATACTAATTGTCGCTCTGGTCGTTAGAAGGGACGTCTGCCTCGTGAATTCCGAAGAATCTCGACTTTCACCATGAGGCATCATAACTGTTTTAAGTAAATATCCTTCAACTCCCAGAACGGAGTTCAAATGGTTTAAATGACTCTTTCTGGTTAGAGTTTTTAATAATGTTGTTTTCTATGGGATGAAGTTTCTGAACCCATACCCAACCCTTCTCTTCTATCCGAGTTAGAAAGCGACAGTAACTGTAGAATGGCTACAAATGGAGTTATTTAACTTTCAGCCAAACCTTTTTGTGTGAGTGATGATGATAGCTCACAATGTTTAATTCAGAATAACTGGGGCTATGTTCAGACCTCTAAATTAACATTTAGGAATGAAGCGCCATAACCTTCAAGATTACTCAGCAAAAAATTTAGATAAATGTGGATAACCAATTATAAAGTGCTAGCGGATACAAATAAAAAGTTATTAGTTTTATTAGCTAATAACTTGACGTAATCAATAATAAACGAAATGGAAAACTGAAGACTAGCAAAGTGACTTATTGAGAAGATAAAATGATTGTGGCATTATAGTAAGTACTCAATGGCTATCTGAAGTGATAAAACACTACTTTATTGCAATGAACCAATGTTCCATTTTCACCATGTTCATAAAGGAATAAAACTAAAACCATACTACACCATACAGATTAATTATAATATATATATTAAAAAGAAAAAACAATTGGTGGTACAACCATGACTAAGCAAAATAATGTAAGTGAACTAATTACATCACATGACTCTAATGTGTAAAAAGAGATCATCTAAATCAATAAGATCAAACGTATGATATTTTTGAGAAGAAATTCAGATTTTACATTTACTGCTTTTTTTTCTCCATATCTATTTTGGGAGTCATGGTTTGTAATGTTTAACAAACCTGAAGTAAACTGTGATTTTTCCTGTAATTATACGGTTAGCAATAAATGCACATGAGTCAGTTTTATATTAGCTTAAATAATAAAGCTCGCATATGATGATATCGGTATTTGAAACTGTGCCACTAAATAATGCAGAGTCGGATATCATTGTGAGTAATTTTCTACAAAACAAAAGTATAAAAATTAGCCAATCAATCCATAAGCGAACCTAATCCATAACTTCAAGATATTTCTTTAATCAACACTAAGGGCATAACATCAAGACGTTTTACAATATTCAATATTGATTGAGTTACATGACAATATAGATTAAAAAACTTACTCATCTAAGTCCAGTGAGTTATGTCTGTCATTAGTCCTGAAAATATCGATAGAATTCGGAAGAACATTTGAGTTCGTATTTAGATCGTTATTGAATGAGAAAACACCAAGAGATTCATTTGTCTGTTGACTAAAACTTGATTCATTCATATAACCATGAGTTTCTTTAGCCGACTCAGTTGAATCAGTCAGATCTGTGGGACTAATTGATTCAGAAATGCTTGTTGCTTCAACAGCAATTTCAACATCTAATTTGTTTTGCCCACTAAACTCATCAATATATCCAGTATATGATGTGGAATCTTTGTCGCTTGTCTAGATGAATTGAGAGAAATAGCAGAAAAAATACATATGTAAAAAATTATTACATAATGTGTCAAAAACTAATATGCTAGTGATTTATATAATTAGTTTGATAATAGTCGAATTAACCATCAAAATGTTACTTGCTAAGTGCGGATTGGTTTTTTTACCGATGCTTATTTACAGCACAAATCACTAAATACAACAAGAGGATATATATATATATATATATATATATATATATATATATATATAAAGAGGGAGGAAGAGAGAGCATTAAACGTTTAGTCATTTGATAACCTACATGTGAGGATGGTGAATGCACATTCGCTTCTCCAGACTGCCGAGTACCCATACTAATAGTTCTCATTGCTTCATCTAAACCACTAATATCACCATCTTTGTCAGTGAAAAACTTGATTGTTCCGACAGAATCCCAGTCGTGTCTACTTGAGCTACCACGAATGTTTAAACCAGGCAGCTTTGGTTTTTTCGCACTCCTAAACATAAAAAGGTATAGTTAGAAAGACATTGGTTAGTAACAACCTAGTGTTAAAAAAATATGTGACTTTCGATGGAGCCAAAAATCGATCAAGGACTAAGAAGTTCCTTAAGACAGTGACTTCGTCAAGTTATTTTAATCATTATGGTGACGCTAAATACGGAGTTCAATGACTGTAAATATGAATAATAACAACTAAGTAAAATTTTTACCGGAGCATCTGACGAAGATTTTAGATTGGGAAATATGAAGTGAATGTTTTAGGAGGAAAAACTAAACTACAAATACTCTTTGTCAGCAAAGTGAGATATGTGAGGTGAATAACAGGGTCAAAAATACATGTGTTGAGAGTTTTAGGTTAAAAATGCTGAGAACAATGTGATGTATGCAACCCAAGTTCAAAAGTTGTGCGTCGCAAAATGACGAGGCATGTGTTCAGTGTGGATCTTCAGTGTGGATCGGACTTTAGTAGTGAAGAGACACAATGTTGGTGCAAAGCGAAGCAAGAAATTCCTCGACTTACCTTTGGTGTTCGTTGTCGCTTACTATAATACTTTTGTGGACACTTGAATCTGTCCTTAAACCATACAGGTAACGTTGAACAGAACAACTTAAGCTACATTTAAGCCGAATACGTTTGGTTGAAATAACAAATTTATACACAATCTAATAATCGTTTTTGAGTTACCCCACTTAATTTGTTGAAAGTAGTGCTTTGCTCCCAAATGCCCTAATACGGCCGAGAGTGTGGTGAGTCCGCCCTCCCTCTCGAAATGCTCTCACACGGCCACGCGTATACAGCCTCTGTCAGGGAAGTCCTACTCACTGCCTTCTCGAGGCGGGGGTGTTGTTTACGAAAATGAGAGGACGAAAAGCGAATGTCCGATGCTTTAACCGGATCCCAAACCAATGGTGCACATGGGCTCCAGTATCCTGCAGGAACAAATGGCGTATGAACCAATCGTTGGTCACTGGCTACCATGGGACTGCATCTCCTCACGATGCTCCACTGCCTTGTGGGTCAGACCTTTAGGTCGAATGCTCGGGGTGTGGCCCCTTAAGAAAACCACCTGCTTCGGTCCGGGTACCCGGGCAGTATCACAGCCCACATACAAATAAAATGAAAATGACGATATTTACTGAGAATTCTATTCACGCTTCGATTAACAGTCAAACAATTCACATTATTATTATTTACCACGTCACTTATTCACTCTCTTATATTCCCACTCTACGGTGGAAACTCGGTTCTATCTAAACGTTCTCGAGTCACTGTCCGGTTGAAAATTGTATGTTACCACCGAATATGAGTACTAAAGCAGTTTTAATGAAACCACGTCCATCATTCAAACTGGCTGCCTTCAACCTTCGCACACTCATGCAGCTCGGACAACAGATAGGGCTGGCTATGTCTTTGGAAAGTCTTAATATCGATATCTGCTGTCTATCCGAGACCCGTATTCAAGACTCTGGTGATGTACTACAAATTCGCTCTCCACCTGTCGCTTCGAAAAGCTTGTTTTACGTGCGTTTATCCGGGGACCTTGTGGCATCTTCGTCTGGTCTTGCTGGCGTTGGTGTCGCACTAAGCGCTAGAGCTGAGGCAGCACTAATCGATTGGATCCCCATTAACAGTCAGTTATGTGCTGTTAGAGCAGAGAGTTCCATCAAAGTGAGAAGAAATCGGAGTGAGAAACGATGTCTTTTCGTCATCTCCGCCTATGCCCCAACAGATTGCAGCCCGGATGCAATCAAGGGTGAGTTTTACCACCAGTTATCTGTTCTTCTCCAGAAAGTGCGTTCGACAGATATTGTATTAGTAGCCGGAGACTTGAATGCTCAGGTCGGGCGTCTAGGCACAGAAGAGAGTCGTTTAGGTGGCCAATGGGGACTTGTTGGTCGCAGGACAGTTGACGGGGACCGTCTACTGCAACTGTGCACAGGCCACAACCTGTTTCTGGCCAGCACTATCGGCACAGTCATCACCGATGTGCCACCTGGCGTCCCCCTTCTGCATCTCAAACCTGGACTCAGATTGATCACATCGCGATCAGCTACCACTGGCGTGGTTGTGTACAAAACTGCCACTCCTTTTGGAGTACCTATCTGGACTCTGACCATGCCCTGGTCTGCACCAATCTTACCTTACTCTTCAGTGGCCAACGAAGTGACCACCACAAAAGGATGGATGTTAACAAGTTGGTTGCAACTTCTGTTGCTAGTGAGTATCGAATCGAGCTAGCTTCTGGGCTAGCTACCATTCCACCGAAAAGTATAGATGAGCATTGGTTGCAAATTCACGACACCATGAAAATGGCGAGTAAAGCCGCTTGCGGCTTCGCGAAACGTCCCGCTTATAGGCACTGGGTTTTTTCAGGCTCCTTACAACTCCTTGAAGCCCGTCGGTCTACTCCGGGTGACTGTGAGTTTGACCACAAAAGAAGGCTGTTGCGTAATGAAATCAGGCAAATCTTGCGTAAAGTGTTTGTAACTTCCTTGACTGAGAGAATTCCTCTGGTTGTACCTTTTCGTTTCCCCTATTATTATTATTACGCTACCACACACTAAGCTGTGGTCATTATCGTTTTTTTATACGCACCTTACCTTCTTTTTCTCTTCCCATTCTCATTGTTTTGTGTGGCCAAATTAGTAAGAAGTAACCTCCAACATTGCAGTTGGGTGCAGTCAAAGATGATTTTTACCACCAGCTAAATGATTTTGTCATCGAAGCGCATGTAATAGGTACTGCAGTGCTAGTTGACAATTAACCCTTGACGTAGGTTTTGAGTTACTCAATACTTGTAAACAATTTGTATCGTAATATATAGGTAACTGGAGCTGGTTGAAGGACTTAAATAAGTCAGACCATTGATCTTGCTGACGGGTGTCAAACAGCATGAAACCTAGGTTCAAAATTCCGTGTAGATTGCCTCGAAGCATCTAAAATACCAACACGGCGCATGCGATGTCAAATGCTGAAACTATTGTCGACGTTGCATCTTTATATGCAAAATCCAATCAGCTGTAAAAGGACTAAACAAGTACAATATCGGTCACTACTTGGTGGTTAATCAATTACACATTGTACTTCATTCGACAACGTGAAGATTGATTGGAAAAAGTGGGTGTGCAATTTATGACAGTTAGTCAGCCATACTCAACGTAAACCTGATACATATGTGTCAGTTTAAATTACCATACCACATCAGCACACTGAGTGGTAGGAATAGTAACAGCATCAGTATTAGTAGTAGCAGTAGTAGAAAATACTGAATATCGAGAAAGATAAAGAAAAGTATAAGATTTAGGGACTCAGGTTTTAAGGGAAGAAAATAACGTCAATCCGAATCAGATAGTCCACTTGTTAATGATTTCATGGACTGATAACATGTTTCGTTTGACCGACCCTAGCTTCGTTCCAGCCTACTCCTATACTAAACAATATCACTCTCCGAGAGTATACGTAACGCAAGTCCCAACCACATGAATTGATGAAGTTTCCCAATTACTAACATTCATTTATTTACTTGATTATACCACATCACCTTTATTTATCTCCTCAAAACTTCATTCTCTGATTAGTGTCGCTTATATTTATCTTGGATTCTGTTTCCACAAACCAATGTCGTTAAATAAAATAAATGTTTACGAATACTGTGTTAACCACCCAAGGTTATGTGAACAAGATTATAAGAATAAATACAAACTTTACTAATGAGAAGTAACAGGCGTCAAAAATCACAATATTCTACTTAAAGCCTACGGAAACCTAATGAGGAAGTTTTTCACTCTACATTCTGACCAATATCATACATTGAAAGCCTGGATTATCCCGTTATTACAGCGAATTAATTGCACCATTAAGACAGACAATATAATAAGGAAAACTGGAACCTAGAAATCAGAGCTTTCTGTGTGGTTGTAATTATTCTTACTAAAACCTTTGGGTTAAGCGATGGAGGTCGCTTTAAAAAAAAACAGTATAAATAATAATTTCGAAACGAAAACCACGGTGATGACTTTGTGTTGTTGACTATAAATCTTACTTCATTTTAAGGATGGGCGGCTAAAACGATGACGAAAAAGGCACGTTCGGAAATACGATTCTAGTCAGCGTTACAAATAGACCCCATAAATAACTAGTTATCATCAATGGTTTGTTTCGTAGTTACCACTCAGAAAGAATGCATAAGTCTAGATAAAACACTTCTTGTAAAAAAGCAGATTACCGCCTGTTGAGTTACCTTTATTTTATTCCTATGATTGACTGACCGCTTTTAGAAAAATTGACCTCAAGAGAAAGATTTACATAAAGAACTAGGCATCTGAATTAAATATTTTCCACCAACAAAGCATAGTGGTCCCAAGATGGGTTTTTCATGCGTACATACACAGGTATATGGTATACAAAAACCTAGGGTGCTTGCCTGGCACCTAGCTATATTTATAACAAGCCAAATGCAGAAAAAATATAGACGAAGTGACAAGGAACTTTATTCAGTGTTATCAGTTTAACCTGATGAAAAGCGACAGACCCTACGTGAAATTCGGTACATCACGCTAGCGCTTTGTTTCTATTTCATCATGATTCCACATATTCTGTGCAAATATATGCTGTGTATGAGGTTGCGCCGAATAGATAGCCCACCCAGTTCCCAGTCCAGATAACCTTTAGGCCAAATTTCGACCACCAAGCTACACGTGCACCAGTCTACGATATTTATCCGACGTACAAACACTAGCCTATATCTAACCTGACACAAACCCATTAGCTAATAAGTACCATGTGTTAACACATGACATTACTATCCAACAGGAGCACATGACACAGTAAAGCCTGAATTACATGATGACTTACATTTATACGTGGTAATAGTTGTCCTTTGTATATAAACAACACATCACTGTATATTTACGTTCAGACAGAACGTTTCGAACAGAGGTAACGCACACTAGGTTTGCCCCGCGCACTGTTAACCTGCATCAATAACTCTAAAACCAAAATTACTTTTCGTCGCGATCTAATTTTTTACATTTTCGCTTAATTTATTCAGTAATTGTTACCAACTACACGTTTTCGTCCAATTCAGCATTTGATTCTCTTCGTAGACTTCAAATATCACACTGGTTACGGCTCATCAGATATACTGCTTCATATATCACACCATGTTCTGCCTCATATTGCCGCGATATTAACAGCGCTTTTATATACCCGCTACATACATTTACAAACTGTGCTTTTTAACTCTACCTGGTCAATCATCCATCATCATCTTGAACAGTGTCCTTAATTTTGGGGTTATCTGTCTGTTATCAAAACTACGGAATCATTTTTAAGCCTATCGACCAAACAACCACCAACGAATTTCAAGTAACTCTCGTGTCATCGATACATATTACATTTTATATGCTACCAATTTATTTTTATATATTTACATCCTCATAACATGACTACTGATCGAGTATGGCTCTTCTGAGCGACTACGAACTTTTTAAGCCTAGTGGTAGATGTTATAAGTAGGTGGTGCTATAAGCCCCATTTCTTTGTTTGTTGGACATAATGTATGTGTAACGGTGAATAAGTCTCCAATATAAATAGCTCTGTAGGTCGTTAGTTTGACTGGACACATCTAACTGAAGGCGCTGGGTCACGCGTTCGCATAAGATCACGAGTAATAATAATAATAATAATTTATTCTCAAATAACAGTTTGTTACATGAGGCATGACAGTTTACAGGCAAGATCAAATTGATACAAATGATACAATGTCCACTGTAGTAAATTACACAGCTGGATTGATAATTTATAAGATATAAATGTAAATGGTTTTAATCAGTATCACAGTTGGCGCGCTTCACGAAAGTTGCGTTGCGAATGTGCAACTGATGGTCAAGGATAGGTCCATTGAAGGTGGGAGCTTCTAAATGTCGCAACCTTATGTCCCTTTGGAATGTCTAAGGCTTTGAGGATGGTGCAGGATAAAATCTTTCGTTCCATATCATAAGGGGGCTGAAAGAGGGAGCAAGTAAAAGAAAACACGAGGGGCAGAGTAGCCAATATTCATGAATGAATGTTTAAGGTATGATTACTCATTCTAATTTTCTTTTATTAAGGTATTTGTTAAGAAAGAGCATTTAATAGGTTAAAGAAAATAAGTGTTAACGAGGTGTGAGTGGACATACAACTGACAAATGGAGGCGATTCGGAAAGGAGCTGAGAGTTTGGGGTTATGTGTGATTATAAAATAAAATATAGTGCTAGAAACAGTAATGTGATATACAATTGGCTATCTTTTTTATCGAAGCAATTGGAGCCCTTTTCATTTTGTTTGTATTATTACTTTTTTTCAGGTATCATAGGGTCTTGAGTAGGCTTCGTAGGTACACTGTGCTAAGCATCTCTTACGACTGCTAATCAGCTTAGACCAAACGCTTCTCGACATATTGATAGCTTTTAGTTCTGACTGGGTTGGTACACTTCGACTATAAATGTGTTGCGCGTCAATGCATTGTCAAACTCCAAATACCTACGGCAACTTTATACGCTTTTCGTCCAGCATTATTTGTTTAGTTTTAGTTTAGTTGCTTTTTTTGATGCTGCGACTGACCAAAATATGCCAATTCATGCTACGTTTATATCTATGATACCATTTCGTGCGGATTTTAGTTAATTCTCTCTGTGTGTGCACTTCGACTGGCTTGTGAATGATTATCAGGCAAACGAAAATTGGGAAAAAACGGTGTGATTGAAGGCAAAACGCACTCGCAACACTGGTAACCAGCAGCCATCATCTTGTTGAAGGAATCCATGATTGTTTATGTTCTTAATCAATGGTGAAATAAGATTCGAAGGCAACGCGTTACTTATTGTTTTCAATTTCTGTTCTTTAAATGGTCTGACTCGACGAAATTATACGGTACGATGCAGATGATCTCGTTTAATACAACCTACAACCCCGTTTTTTCATAAGTTGAGTGCAGGTATTTCACATTTCGTTACGCAAGCATGGTAAGCCTTACGGTTTATTTTTATTTCCACTCAGTGTTTCGAGAAGTTAGTTTTTAAAAACATTTTCAGTATGGTGTGTAGCCTGTCCCATGAAGATGCATTATTTAATCGTCAATAGTTGAGTTACATCACATCTTTAAAGTCTTTGTGTGCTATGTAAGATCGGTAGCAGATGGTTTGTACGTAAATTTCGCGTTTCTGAAGTTGCTTGGAAGATTTTAAAGATATATTGTTCTATTAATTCTGTTGTATGAATATTAAGCCATGGTGAAAAGAATGAAGAATTAAATACACCTCACTTGAAATGAAATAAACAACACAATTGTAGAGGCAGAAGGCAACTTAGGGTCATTTCAAACAACAACAACTCCAATGGAATTACAGACTCAGAGAGGCGAAACTCAGAACGAAACGTGCCATGAATTGATGCAGAAATTAGCCACACTCCTTCATTAGCACAAGGATTTTATTGATCGCCAAGACGAATGGTGGAATAACTGTGGTACGATCACATTCAGCAGGTTTTCAGTACGACGTGTTATGAATTTTTATCTGAAGACTCCATTCACAGCAAACCATAGAAATAATTGCACAAATCACAAACTAAACAGGTCACTTTTACGTTGAAATTTTATGTGCGCTCAATTAAGATAAATGCTAAACAATTCTAGGGCTATCTGGAGATATAATGACAAAGTAAAGAATAAGTGTACATATGATTGGTATATATATATGCATATATTAGTACAAAGTAGTAGAATTGTCAGTCGCAAAGGACATGAATAGATGATTTTAAGAAGTATAACGAAACCATTGCGATAAACGATTGTGGGAATCTGAGAAGCAAAGTTACTGAAAGGTTTCATATGCTTCATTCAAACGACTAACGACAGTAATGTATGAATCTGATGGTAAGGATTCCAATAAAATAACCTGAGAATCATCCAGTTCATCGGGACAAATAACAATTGCTAAAGGTCCAATTATCTCAAAGTTTTATTGAGATGGATGTGATAATGTATTTCTAGCATTATTTGTTTGGTTCAAACATTCTTCCTTCTCTAGGCTCCCAAAACTGCATTCGTGTAAGCGGTTTCTAAGAAACATAAGAGCGAGCTCACCCTTTGCACATGAATTAATAAGATGTATTTGCATGAGTAGTTGTGTGTTTTAAATACTCTACTTTAAATGCCTCCCTGTGTATAAATCTGTGATTTTTCCCATTAACAAGACAGACGCGTTATGAATGTTCACTTTAAACATGGATCGTTCAAGAAAAGCAGTGTCCTTAAAGCTCACTTACTAATTTTAGTCTTTCGTGCCTTAAGGTAACCCTCGTGCTATTGATAGAAGAAACCAGAGAAGTAGTGAATAGGTCTTTATTTCGATCTTCGCGCAGTCACAGTGGAGCGTTGGATTATCTGTTCAGACAAACAAAGGCTCTCAACATTCAATATAAGATATTAGGGAATATAACGCTTATACAAAATAAGGAAGTGAATGAATACTTGAACAATACTGTTTTGGCATATGCTTGGTTGTTTGGGGTCAACTCTTAACCAACCAACCTAAGCTGTTACATTAGCTTCCCCCTAGAATCGACTTCCGTAGGAACGTCGGTTCGATTAACCTATCTATCGAAAACACCTTAGTTCTATTTCTCATGCCAAGGGAAAATTATCAACTCGCTCACTGTTTGACTTACAATCAGTGACGACTGACGCTGTCAACGATAGTCCATGGATGTCTCTTCATTTACTAGCTTGTCCTCTTATTTTGTAGCATGTGATTTCTTCTACAAATATCGCTGACGGTTTGCTGCGTGCTTTCAAGAGAAAGCGTGTGAGAATGTGGAACAAGAATATCTGAGGAAGTGCCGCGAGCGGGCTACCCAACACCTTGTTGGTGAGGTACGACTTTTCCATGCTAAGACCGGCTATCAGATGTTTACTCACCTGCCTCTTGAGTCGCCCTCAAGTAAAAAGGTAAAGAAGAATCTACTTCAAAGGTAATGGTGAAAATCAAGCAAACCTGAAGAACTGCTCCGCTGCCTGCATAAAATAATAAGATACAAAATGGAAATACATAAATGTAATTGATAATTGTTCGGTTACATGTAAGTGCTTGACCTCCAGAACGGATTGGTATTCTGGAAGGAAATAGACATAGTGTGGATATCTTGTGCACGAAAAACCATGAAAATAAAAAATATACTCTTTTGTAATGCATATATGTAAAAGGGTGAACCTACTAGAAGTTGGACTCTAACAAAATCGATCAAACGCATGACCTTGAGCCTGTGATGACCGCCTTTAACAACTAGGTGCGTAACCAAGGGTGCATCAGAGTATTCCACAAAACGGAAAAGAATATACGGTTAAGAAGCAAAAAAAATTGTGTAGAGTATGCGGATCAAGTATAGTTGCGTCAAATACCCTTTTCTGGTTTGATTTAGGTATGCATGATATATTGAAGCAATATTTCGTCAATTCATTTAAGTAACCTCAGAAGTGTGTAAGTCCTATTACTCATTAGTATTATGAGTGATTAATTGGTGTAAGGAAATATTGAAGTCACTTCCTCCGTGGTCTGACGTGGCTTAACGGCTAAGGACGCGGTCTAGCATTCAGGAGGGCAGAGGTTCGAGTGCGTGTGGGGCCTGCGTTTTTGTTCACCAGACCCACCTTTAATACGATGTTTGTTGCCCGTAAGTCGCTCACATATGAGAGAAAAAATGACAAGAGGACAGATTGATATATCAAAGTGCCATATTGGAAAAGTATAAGTTCTTTGTTTACATTAATATTATTACTATAGAAGAAAAACTACAAGTTTAGTAAATTTCCATTTTACGTTATATTTAAACCAACGAATATATATATATATATCAGTTATTGACACAAATTGTCATTTTATTACGCTAATGTTAAGTTCCAGGACTTTGTATGGGCCACTAATAATAATTTGTTAACG